ATAGCATAAATATTAGTATACATAGAAGGTTTGCAAAGACTCCACGAGCTTGGCTTCGAACCTTTGGTTCTTGCCAATCTCGCGTCGTCTCAAAGACAAATAGAATGGTATAATTTTTTTGATATCTTTGGTGGGTTTAAAATCGCGCTAGAAAGGTTATATCAATTTGGTTAATTTTAGATTCCGAAGCTCAAATTTTATAGCAAGGAGATTAATAACGAAATTGAGCGCTGGTGTAAATTTTAGACCTGAATTCTATATTATGAATTCATATAGCTAAAAGGGCTTCTGGCCTATGATTGGAATCTTTCTGGATATCTTTTTCGAATTTTACCCAGAACCCCCAATTTTGCTCTACTATAAATAAATGATCTGTATTTCTTATTTCCTAATTTTAGTAGTCTAATTTTATTATGCAAATAGACCTTATTACATCATTCATTATTGATGTCATTTAATTCATTTAATTCATTTATTTTATTTATTTTATTTAAATTATTTTATTAATTTTTATTATTTTATTTATTTGTATTATTTTATATATTTTATTTATTTTCTTTATTTTATTTAATTTATTGTTATAAGTATATATTTTTATATAAAAAGGAGTAGTTTATTAATGTAAAAGAATAGAGAGTCTTATTTTGTAATAATTCTTTTAATAAATAAATTGTTTAATACAGACACGCTGATAAAAGTAATACTAGTCTTTTATTTATTAAATAATTAATTGTACGTATTTTACCTAATTTATCATATTTATCTTTATTTCTTTTATTTTATATTTTTATTTTACTCTTCTATATGAAAGAAATCTTTTGCTAAACCTTGTTATCGCAAGTAATTTATCTACGATCTAAAAAACTAGTGTAATAAATATTTTTATAGATTTTTATATTAAATTTTTATTAAAATAAAATAGATTTTAATCTCTGTATCTTTGGTATATCTAAAATATTATAACACTATATAATTAAATATCTCTTAAATAATATCAATCATCACATTTAAATATTTTAAATATAATTAATATATATATTATCAATAAATGAGTAAAACAAATCAATATATTATGTCTTTAATTTTAATAGTTAAACTTTTTAGACAATTTTGAAAATAATAATAAGATAAACATATTAAAGTAGATTTTTTGAAATTTTATGATTATTAAAATTAAAATTATTCAATAGATCTTTCATTTACTATGTTTTTAAAATATTTCTAAAATCTTCTTTTTAAATATAATTCTATATTATCAAAAGAGTTGAACAAAATCCATTCTTTTATTAAGTAAAATTAAAACACAAAAAATTATGATTTATAAATATTATATTTAATACTTTTATTATTAATAAAGTATTGTAATAATTTGTAAAATAAGCAAAAATGAAATAATAATTTTAGCAGGTAATATTATCATCAAAGTCATAACTAAAAAAATGAAATTTCTTTAAATTTAATATCTAAAGTTTAATCAAATTTAAAAGATTATCATAATTAAAAAATTTTCTTATATACAATTCTTAGATTTGAAAGTGATCTGACATTAAGATTATTTAACTTTATTCATTTTGTATAAAGTGAAAATGAAATATCTTAAAAAATAAATTAGTTTAAGAAAAATTGAAAAATTATTCTATTGCATAGATCTGTCATATGATCTGCTTATTTTATAAGATTAAAATAAATAATACTAATAAAAAGAAAATAGTATAATAAAGAATTATTATTTATATATAATAAATATAATAATTAAAAATTGTAAATAATTATTATATATAGAGGATAATATTATTAAATTCAGATTTCTTTATTAAAAAGATACAATTTTTGAAATTATTGAAAATAGATTAATAAATATATGTTTCATATATTAAGAAAACTTTTAATGTATGAATTTCACGTGACTTCAAATGATTTGCGATCAGATTAAAAAAATTTTTCTTCAGAAGATAATTTATTTGTCTGTTTAAGTTAAATAAGGACATTGGGTCCTCATAAGATGATGTCTTAAGTTTCACAAAATGCTCCACTTTTTTATACATCTAATTATAAGATAAGTAATAAAAAAGGATTCTGAGTACAATGGCATATAGGACATACGAGCCTCAGTCGGGATACTACCGATCACTAGAACATTAAAAAAAAAAAAAAAAAAAAAAAACAAAAAAAAAGATAAGTAATAAAAGAGCAAATCTTGTTTGTTACATTATAACTAACTAAGTATACATTAGTACTTCGTCCGATTTTGCTGTAAACAATTCTTTAAGCAATTCTTGCCAGGAATAGACTAAAAATTTTATAAACGAACTTGTATGCAACTTCGAATAATCAATCCTTCAGCAACACCGTCCAAACCGGTATTTCACTGTTTTAAAATCGGTTACTTAAAAAAGTAGGATTATGACAGCTCAACGAATTCAATCTGTCCGTTTTTCTGAAAGAGATTGCTTATCTAATTGAGTTGCCATGGTTCTACGAAACATCTGAAAAGCCCATTCTTCCATAAAATTTAACGCCATTTTAGAGAATTGAACTCCAACGGGCAACTTAATCATCAGGAACAGCAGAAAAATTACTCCAAATCATAACAAAAAAAGATGTGTGTTACATTATTACAACGTTATCTTTACCAGAATCCTAATTTCTGTTCGGGTATTGTCATGACGATTCTTCTGGATTTTGCGATTGCTCATAGATAGCTCGTCCATGTCATTAAATATATATTCTTAAAATTTATTTATTACTTTCCCATATTCGTAAGAAACTTTCAAAAGCTGGTGAACCAGCCATTAATATGCATATGTTCCACTTCAGAAATGTGTCCTCAAAAGTACACATCGAGACCAAGGAAGCCATTGATGAAATATGCAATTGCAATTATTTAATATGAATCCAATTTACGTGAATTCGCTGATCACATGAATATGGCGTATAAAAATAAATCATTTTGGTTAGCAATCAACCACGCACATGAAATTCAAAAAACATCAACGATTTTGGACAATTCAAGATATGCTTAATGATGTAATTATTACAGATCCTTATGTTTCAAATAAATAGTCGATTGTTACTTTTTTTTGATTTCACAATAATGATGCCGGTTGAAAAATTAACTCGTATTGGCATTGGGATGTATCGTATGTGTCTCGGAAATAAATTCAATGAAGATGCATTGCTTAAAGCTTTAAGTAGAGAAATTGATGGTTCCGATATCAATGTGATCGATACTTCGACCAATTATTGTGATGGAGATAGTGAAAGGTTGATTGGGAAAGTTTTATCGAATTCTGATAGAAAATTTTTATCCCGCTCTGAAATATTCCTTGCAACTAAATATGGGTATATCCAAGGAAATAACATGAATTTGTACCAAAATGGAGCGTTTAAAGTATGATGTTACGACTTGATATTTCTTTTCGTTTTAAACAATAAATATACATTAATCAATTTACGAGTATAGAAAGTTCCAGATGAACATATCGTACACTATAATCCCAATTGCTTTCATTGCATTCATCCAGAATTTATGAAGTATGAAAATTCATTTATTTTTAGAATAACAAAATTGATTATTTATTTAAACTTTTCATTATTTGTAGAGATCAGCTGAATCGAAGTTTGCATCGCATGCAGGCGGAATATGTTGATATTTTGTTCATTCATAATCCAGAATATTTTCTTATGAATAAGATAAAGTCTTCCAATGAAAATGTGAAAGGTAGTTTGGAATCAATAGTTTATTTGTGAAATGGGAATGCACCTTTGTTGATATTGTTATTTCATTATAATAGAATATCAAAAGCAAATGTTGGATAGGATTAGTCAATCGTTTGAAGCAATGGAAGAAGCGATTGATAAAGGTCAAATTCGTTCCTATGGTATTAGCTCCAATAGTTTTTCCGTACCTGAGGAAGACAAACATTTTTTGCCTTTTTATGATTTAATCGATCGTGCAAAGGAAGCTTCGAAGCGCGTAAGAGGAACCGAAAAACATGGGTTTTCTGCGGTGCAGATGCCCGGTAATTTATTAGAGAGATGTGGATTAAACACCACCGCGATTTGGGCCAAGAATAACGGATTAAAGGTGATTGAAAGGATTTGTGGAGTTTGAAAACAAAGCACCGATTTATTCTTTATCGAAAATTTTCTATAGGTGTTTATTAACAGGCCTCTTAATGCCTTCAATGAAGATGGTGCTTTTCGTTTGGCGAGTTATCCTAAAACAAATTATGAACACGTAAAAACTTCTACATTTGAAAAATTGGGGCAAAATTTCGGCGGAGTCGGGCCTTCATCTCAATCTATTCTAGATTTAATTAAACAGATTGATAATCTACTTCCCAAGATTAAAAATGTATTTGAATGGGAAAATTATCGTATTTCAGGTACTTAATTACCTTTTATTATAAGGTATCGTTTTTGTTTAATAAATTGATTGATAATCAAATCTTTCATTTGCTCGAAGTCTATTCTTCTCTTGGACAGTTTCGAGAAAATCCTGATGTTAATTCGATCTTGCAGCCATTCTTGGATACATTTGATTCGGAAGTGAGATATCGTGGATCACAAGCTGTTAGAAAATATTTAATTGAAAAATATAATATAGATGAGAATGAAAGTATCGAAAAGGTTGCTTTGGAATTTTTATTTAATAGTGGTGTCGTGGATGTGGTTTTAATGGGAATGACTCGCGAAGGATATGTTGAATTTGCAAAGGAAATGCTTCGTAGATTTAAAAATTAGTTGTGGTAGTCATCTATTGATCGAAATGTTTATTAATTGTGAATTCGTTGCACTGTGCCACATACTGCGGGAACCGCACCTTTATAATTTTTTAATAAATTATCCGTTCATACTTTAACCTGGTATTTTGGAAAAGTCATCCAGAGCCCAATTAATAAAAAATTATAATCAGATTTTGAAAAATCAATTTTTTTTTTTTTTTATAATGCCAGTGTGGCGCAGCTTACCTTAAAAGCCTTTATTAGTAATTAATAGCTCGACAATTAATTAATTAAAATATATATATTTAAGGTTCTTGTTTACGCGAAAAATTTACGCGCACTTGTTATGTTATGAGAGAAACGCGACTGAAAACCATGCTATAAGCAAGTAAATGGTGTGAAATTTCGTCACGCGATTTCAATTATTAAAGATGCGAAACGGTACCTTAAAAGATCCACTTATAAATAATTTGATCCAAAGACATTAAAGCATTATGAAACAGAACGGAATATGATTGCATTTAATTCTAATAAGATACTTTGATGAACGAAATACAAAAGTTATATTTTTTTCTATAATCTTATGTTGAATCCAGATTTATCTTTGAATGTTGAAAATTAAAAACATCAAGTGAATTTTAACTCATAAAACTATTTCACAAGATAGAGTCTGTTTAAAGAATTATATAGATATAAATAAACATTGTTCTGCTGATAGAACGGAATAAAGATTAAATTGATAAAATGTGAAATAAATAAATATATATATATATATATTTAACCTTGCTTGTCAATTACCGCATTGCTCCAAATCCAGGGTTTCATTTCGAATTTATTTTCCTTTGACATTTTTCCGAATCCAAAGAATGAGGAATTAACGCGTCGCTTTTAGAATTAATATTAAATGTTGAAAACATGAATGTCTAATTCGCTATGTTTGCTTGGTATAATGAAAAACTGTTGTTGAGAAATTTCTATCTCAAGCGACAACTTATCCTTCAAGTATTGCAATCTAGCTTATAGCTTCCTTTTAATTAAAGAACTTTCTTTGGTAAACCAACGATATTTCCACCATGTTCATTAATGTGCATTCAAACGGTTCTCATATTTTTTTTTTTTTTTTTTTATTTTTTTTTTTTTTTTTTAATCAGGAGTTCCATGATTTCAAATGTAAAGATTTCTTCTATGATAACACATCAATATAGTTTACATTTTAAGCATCTAAAGTTGTAATAATTTAAAGCGTGTACTTGTTGAACCAAAATCTTTACATCCTCCATGTCCAATATATATATATTTATTCACTCACAAGTTGATGCTTCTATATAAATAATTCACACTTGATAATATAATTTTTTTGCGATAAAAATTTAAATCTCGTTATGAACGAATAGTTGACGCTCTAATAACGGTATTTTGTAAAAAATAAATAAATAAAAGAAAAAAAAGGAAAAAAAAAAAAAAAAAAAAAACACGCAAAAAAAATTCGAGGATGAGGACTGGTACAAGCCCCGCTTTTATATTTGAAAATATTTACCATTGGTGCAACAATAAGCATTTTAATACAAGATAAATCAATGAAACCTTTTCATTTTCGATGAATCTTTTTTTGGTCTCGCCTTTGAAGAGTTGAAAGTTAACGGCGCAGCAACGATCTCGATTATATTGTGCGCAGTATACCAAATCGCGAAATTTTTTACGAATTATATATTGGGATCGTGTCGCAGCTGCTATTTTAGTAACTGATTTTAAAATAACAAGTATAAATATATCTCATACATTATATATTTAAATATAATGCAAATCATATGAATTTACAAATGATCGCGTCCCGGGAGGGAAAAAAAAAAAAAGATAATTATTCTAAATGGAAGGTAGAAAATATCATTTAGAAAGTTTAACATACACAAATGACAATTTTAGAAAGATGAAACACTTTGAAAAAAAAGTAAACACCAATTGCGAAGCTTTAATTTTGCGTAATATCCGATACGACAAGCTTTTATTAATTATTTATCAAACATTTGTCACATTTGGTAAAGAATAATAAAAACAATGGGGCGCCCCGTTGCGCGTACCACGACTATACTCAGCTTAACTATTTCGATAATATTATGAATTTGGGTTTTCTATAAGGATAAAACAAGTAAAGTACAGATATAATTGTGTAATTTGTTTTTTTTCCTCGTGATACTTGAAAGTATAATATTTGTTTATGATTATATAAATTTTTTTTTAATATTGTTATAATTTTTTTTTTTTTTTTATTGAGTTACGATTCCATTCTATAATTACAAATCGAGAGCTTGTGTAAGTCAGTCTTTGTTCTTGCAACTCATTTATCACTAACAAATTTTTTTTTTTTTAAAAAAAAAAAAAAAAAAAAAAGACCAATATCCTTACTAAATTACGCCAACTAATCAGTTTTCAACATGTAAATTAATCTAGTTATTATTTAAGCAGAAGATTTAGAGTTTAGTGTAAAAAGAGATTTTCTTTAAACCTTTTGATTTAATTCTAAAAAAAATATATATATTCGCCCCTTTCTTAAATTCTCACGCGAAAGTCCTTGTTTACTTTTTCGGGTTATAGATATTTGATTGGTATTTTGAAATGGTTGAAGTAGTACTTTCTAACTCAATAAAACATTTTGGTTACATTATCTTGTGATAAAATCAACATCTTTCAATTTCTTTATACAACAAATATAATGTTCGGTATCATCATATTGTTCTAGTGAATGTTTGAATTTATAACGTTGAAACGATCATCTTTCAAGTTTACCGAGCTAAACCACGAAAATAGAAAAAATATGTAGCACTCACTGTAAAGGTGTAAAGATACCGTGACGATTTATACGCCTTTTTTTTTTTTTAATATATGTGCATTTTATAATGTAAAAGGTTTTATAATTAGTTATAGAATACATTCTATTTAAACGTTTAAAATTGTATGTTTAAGAATAAATCAAATTTTAAGTGATT